ACATCCTTCCTGTGTTTATCCTGTCTGGACCTGTTTGAATTTTATAGGTTTCTATGAGATCCCCTCCTCATTCTTCTAAACTCCAGTGAACATAGTCCTAACCAATCCAGTCTCACTTCATATGCAAGTCCTGCCTTGTCAGGAATCAATCTAGTAAATCTTCATTACACCCCCTCCAAAGGCAGAACATTCTTCCTCAGATGAGGAGACCAAAACGGCTCACAATATTTGGCCTCAGCAAGGCCCTGTACAATGCACCAAGACATCCCTGCTCCTGTACCTGAATCCTCTATGAAGGCCAAAATGCAGCTTTTGCCTTCATCAATGCCTGCAGCACCTGCAATGTTTCAGCAACTACTGTACAAGCTCACCCAGGTCTCATTGCACCTCCCCTTCCAATCTATAACTACTCAGATAACATGCCTTCCCGGTTTTGCTACCAAAGTGGATAACTTCACACTTATCCATCTTATACTTCATCTGCCATGTACGTGGCCACTCATTCAACTTGTCCAAATCACACCGAAGCAGCTCTGTATCCTCCTCACAGCTCACCCACCTGTCTAGCTTTGCAAAGTCTGCAAACTTGTACATAACATTTGGTTCTGCCAACCAAATCATTAGCATATTTTTGTAAATAGCTGGGGTCCAAGTACTGATCCCTGTGGTACCCAACTAGTCACTGTCTGCCACTCAGAAAATGACCTATTTATTCCTAATCTTTGCTGCCAGTCTGTCAACCAGTTTTCTATCCATGTCAGTACACTCCCCTCAATCCATGTGCTTCAATTTTACATGCTATTCTCTTATGTCGAACCTGATCGAAAGCCTTCCAAAAGTCCAAGTTAACCACATACACTGGCTCTCCTTATCAACTCTGCTCGTTATGTTTTCAACAAATTCCAGTCGATTTTTCAAGTATGATACCCCTTTTGCAAATCAACAGCAACTCTGCCCAATCCTGCCACTGTCTTCCACACACACTAATATTTTATAATTATCTCTAGCATTTTCCCTGCAACTGATATCAGGTGAACTGGT